TGCACAAGGACCCCACCAAGCGGTTGGGGTACGCCAGAGGCGCGAGCGAGATCAAGGAGCACGAGTTCTTTCGCGGGGTGAGGTGGGACATACTAACGGAGGTTACACGGCCGCCGTTTATTCCGTCTCGGGAGGATGGGGACTTAACGGAGAAAGCCACGGCTGGGGGAGTGAGCGTGAGGGATTATTTTCAAAAGTTGCGGTCTCCGCCGTCGATGCCGCCGTCACCAGATTGTCAATTGACGGAGTTCTGACACACGTGTGAAAGCTTACACGTGTAAGAAATTAGTATAAAAAAAATTGTGTAGCCTCTGTATATAGAATAACGGTAGACGGCCTGTAACTTTGAGACGCAATAGACTATATAGTTAGCTAGACTTGTACCATATACGGATTCAAAGGGTGTACAACTTTTTATTTATTTATTATAGTGGAAGGAATCGAACTTTTGACCTAACTTAATCTCGAGTTAATCTTTCTTTAACTGAAGGGCACAATTAATTCAATTGTTCACGGGCAAAGTTTGTTCGAGTAGAAAGAAAGCAGTGGCGATTAGATAGGTGAAGTTCAATTGTGAGTTTGATTACAAGTAAAAGAAAAGAAAATGGAAAGGTGATTGGTTTGAAATTAAAAAACCTTTGTGCAAGGTTCGTTTAACTTGAGCCTAATGCTTTGATTCATTACATTTATAATGGCAAAAGCAACTTTGTTGAGTGAAAGGGTTTATTGGTAGGGTCAAATGAATTGAAATCGACATCATTTTATTTACCAAAAGATAATTATAGTAACAACTGTTTTTGTTCCACGAAGAATGAAACTATATATGTTTGGACTATAAATTATGGATGGCCATTTCCTATTACACGTGCTCAAGTTCATTGCCTTTGATTGCTTAATTTCATCGATTTAAAATATTGTAATTTCATCGATTACGAACTTGGATACAAAAAAGGTGAGAGGTTATGTTATGTTATGATTAGGGGACAAAATGTTCTTAAATTACGCAGTTTATAGTAGATTATGGTCTTTAGTTCCAGCTTTACTAAACAATTCATATGGCTTTATCTATGGCGCCTAATAGAATTGTATCTACAATGATTACAACTTTCCCACTACAAAAAAGCCATTGCAAATTTTCAACTTGAAAAAGGAAAAATTGGTAGGCCAAGAAATATTTATATGTATCGCCCTAAAAGCCCTAAAACCTGCGTTTTGAGCATAATATTCAGAGCCAAGTGAGGCACAAAGCTTGATCTGCCCATGGACCAGTTGGTGGTAAAGGCCTCGTAAGAGGGTACAATTGAATAGAATTTAGGTAAGGAGGGGAGAATATAGAAAATCCGAGAGCACGTGATTGATTATTTTTATTTTGAACATATTCGAGGGACCACTCGTGCGCAAAGAACAATAAAGTTTACTAGCTTTGGACACTGTATAAATCAGCTTTTACTGGCAAGTGGATGAAGTCTTAGCTTTTAAAATGGCGGTCTGCAAATTCTCCGAGGAAAGTATGCATGTATAGTGGTAATGGTGATTGGCTTCAAGGATTTTCCATTAACATAGTGGTAGTGGGTGAAATAATGCTTTGAAGTTTGGAACAGTCAGTTTGTCAGTGAGTTTTTTACTAAAATATCTTCATTGAGCATACCGTGGATTAGGCCGATTGATTATAAGTGAGTTTGTCTCTTTACACTCAAGTTTGAATTTCCATTCTGGTAATTCAGATTAATTTAGAGTTGCCTTATGTTTAAAGCCATATTAAAGCAAATCCATAGAAAATATCAGAGTTTATTGTGACACACATTAAGCTTACGAGTGACTATGTATTCGATTAATTAATTAGAGGAAAAAAAGAATAATCATGTCATTATCTTTCCTCTATTATATTTGAGCAGACACATTAGGGCTATAGGGTAGAGGAAGATCGCATCAAAGAGCAAGTTATTGAATTAGATTTCCCAAGAATACAAGACAAAGCCACAGCAGTAGGGGGGCAATACAAAAATGGAAATTAATACCAAAGATAAAAATAGAATCGCAATTCATATTGTCAGCAGTAGTTGTATGTAGCATCAGGTGCTCAAACCAAACAAACCAATGCTGGAATCTGATGCCAATTAGTATGCAATAAACATGAACATATTATTCCAATTGTCGGCCAATATAATTTAGGGCTACATGTCAGTAGACTATTGTCTCCTCCTCAGTGACTAGAGAGAGAGCTAGACTTTGAGGCCCCGCAGACGCTGAAAACCAAATGCAATCTTTGTCATCTACCTCTAGCTAGGGTTTAATTTGGCCTCATCTGCGTTTTATCAGGAATGGTCCTTCGCACTAGAAAACAACTTGGCCCTCCGGCTATATGCATGAATATATGGTAAGGAGTAAGGCTTTTAGGCGGGGCCCTACCTAGATAGGCTAAACTTGCAATCCCCTTTCAACAAAGAACAAAAAAGTACTATCAAATTCCAAATCGTTTTCATCTTTCCCATCGCAACCCCCATTTTAGAATTTTTCCAATTGAGAGTAATAGAATAGAAAAGTGACCCCATCTGGCTGGTAAACTTTTCTCATGTAAGTTAATGCTTCAAGACAAGGGAGGAAATGAAGTTGGGCAGATCGATCTGTGAGCCAACTATTGTTTTATACTTGGGTTTGGTTTAGATTTTATAGAATTTGTTTAAAAGTAAGTTCGATCATTATTGGTACCCATGCTTTTGAATTTTGAGCATCATTCAACTATTTTGTTAATTAAAAGCAACTCTAGTTCGAATCGAAGCTTAATTTGCCCTATCCTCAAAAGCTTTTATGGTCATTGAAATCTCAAGCAAATTACGAACAAGAAATTAACAAGACAAAAAGATTTGTTCGATTTTTCTGACTATGTACGGTAGGCATTGGAAACTTGTCTCAGCAATCATGTCTCGTGCTTCATTTTTGATGTTGAACATGGCATCTTTCTATGTTGTTTAGGCACAAATTGTACTGAGAAGGAAGCTTTATAGCTTTTAGAATATATATAGTCAAAGGAAATCTTTTAAAATTTGATGGTCACCACTAATTCCCCCCCTTATATTCTTCCTTGATAATTCTGATACATATGTTATATATATGTTGATTTCTGGCCACCAAGCACCATGATTGTTTTGAGTGAGAAAGAAAATTAGGTTTTCTTTTGATGCATGGTCGGTTGAAGTATGAAAAGGTTGAATCTATTATATAGGGTTATGAGGCCTTTAGCTTAAGTTGAATGCACTTTCAACCCTCTAAAGGACTCTCTTTTCAAACTCAACAAAGGCAGACAGGACCCACTTCTGTGGTCTAATTTCTCCACAACTATATCAGCATATATATATATATATATATATATATATATAAGCAGGATAAGAATTGCTAATAGCAGACAGCTTTCCATCCAAGAAAAGAGAAATGTAAAAAGGTTCATGGTGAATGAAAATTTTCTCATATATAATCACACTTGACAAAGGAAGCTTCCTAATTTTCTTTTGATTTTTCAGTTTTTTTTATTTATAAATAATTAACGATGCAATGTATTGATTGATCACATTGTCGGTCACATCTCTAAGTTGCTTTTAATCCGTGTATTTCAAAGTGAATAGTACTAGCGCCTGAAATAGGAGCTTTTTCTGGCTGCTATTTCTGATTGCAACGACTTCTGAAGGATTCGGGTTTTTGATAAATCTCAAGCCACACCATTGAGCTTGGGCTTCTTCAAAGCAAGCAAAAGTTTCCTTTGGGCTTCTTCACCGAGTTTGGGTCCCTGCTGCCCGAAGTTTTACCTAGTGGACGTGGCTCTTAATTTGATACATATTGAAGGTTTATTTGGCCATAGAGCTCCTAATCTAATCTAAATTACTGCCTACTTTTGACTTGGATTAAGCATTAATCCTCTCCTAATCTACTCATATTACTCTTGTTAGTTACACATAATAACAAGGAAGCTGGATATGCTTTATGCCATCTCTACATGCATGAGCAAACAACATTAATATACAATGACACTCGCTACTTGCTCTTATACTTGGTTAATAATACGTTACATTAAAATATTGGGATGTGAATTTCAACTAACCCAATAAAATATAAAAATCAATCTAGTCTGTGACCCCTTTCAACATTTCGGGCTCTATGAAGCATTGGTTTTGTAACTTACTTCAAAGTGTTTTGATTTGTGTCGTATTGATTCAGAGTGCTAGGGTCAGTCGCCCATGTAATTTTTTGCCATAAACGCATATAAATCCCATTATAAACCTTACATGCATCAATCAACAACTAGCAAATCAGTCATTAGCCGGCCAACATTTGACTGATCCTATAAATTTCCTTTTAATTAAAGCATTATTAGACAAATAAATTCCTAATTTCAAGCGGACAAAAAAAGAAGAAATTGAAATTCCAAACTGAACTACTATTGGGCTTTGTTTGTTTGTTTTTAGTTTTGGGCTTTAAGTTAGTTCTTGCTTGTCTGGGCCCATGGGCTAATTCTTAGTTGTTTTCCTTTGCTGACCTGGACTTTCTGGTATCAATATTTATTTATTTACCCGAAAGGAAAAACCAACAAAACCAACAGATCCAAAATACCTCATTCAAACGTTAAAATAAAAAATAAAAAATTATCACGTTCTCTGCTGCTCGCGAGTTGCTTGCCAGGGGCAAAACTGCAACGCCTCCATTGTTGTTCGTGCGTACAACTTCCAGTAGTTAGCAGAACCACTCTACCAGGCACCAGGTACTCTTTTCCTCTTGGGCTTCTTACTTATTAATCTTTTATTTGACTAAATAAGGGTGGCTGTGATGAAACTAGGGCTGTTATTTTGGGGGTTTAGGGGCTGTCATGGTTTGGGATTCGTTGAAATTGGAGGTGGGTTGTGGTTGTTGTGATTATATAAGTGCTAATTTGTTTGCATTAATGCCTTTTGTTTTTATTTTCGATGGGCTGCTGAATTTTTTTTTCAAATTTCATCTTTATTTGATGCCCAATGTATATGCGCTGTGGACGTGGTGAAAGCTTCTCTTTTTTCTTTTGTTTTTTTTATTATATATTTTGTAATTGATTGATGGAAATTTTACTTATGGAGCTTTGTTTTGCTGACAAATTACTCTTTTTAATGGAGTTAATAATACTGAATTTGAATGTGATGATTCTAATAAACTGGGTTTATGTTTTTATGGGGTTATTTATAAGTGACTTTCCCCCCCCTGACTGGGTGTATCTTTTGTGTTTATTAATGAAAACTCAGTCGGGCTGTGGAGTTTTTTTATTTTTAGAATCATGTTATTTAGTTAATTGTATCTTTTTAACAGGTATTGTACATTTGGGAAGCTCTAAAGAAAAGAACAAGACAGTGGTGGCTATGGCTAGAAAGTACAGTAGTGAATCTAGTGAAGATGATGTGAGGGGTGAGAGAGATAAATATAGAAGTAGAATCGATTCTAGGTCAAACAATCTTCATGAACCTGGTGATGAAATTGATTCATCAGATTCTGATGGAGGAAATAGAACAAAACGACAGGAGAGACGGGATGGACATCGTAGTGATGATATGGACAACGAAAGGTCCAGCAAGAGGGATCTTGAAGACAAAGGTGGAAGGTGGCTGGATGATCGTCAAGATAGGAAGGGATCTGGAGAAAGTTCTGATGAAGATGGAGAGCTGAAAGAGAAAGACTGGGATACTCAACCGAAGGAAAGAAAGCATGATAATGGCCATAGAAGACGTGAAAATGGGAAGGGTGATAGCGTGAGAGAATCTTTTAGAAGTTCTGAAGAAGATGACGAGCAAGTGAGGAAGCACCGACATGAAAGGGAAAGGGAGAAACCTCGCCGGCATGAGAGTGGGCATAGAAGGCCGGAGACCAAGGATGGTCATAGATATAGGAGCCGACATTCACGTCACTATTCAGACCACAAGGATGAAAGGGAAGAGCACAGAACATTAGAACAGAAAAAGGATAAAAGAGATGATGATCAGAGAAGGAGGTACAGAAACCAGGATGATGATGGAGATCTAAAGTATCGTAGATATAACGAGGTAAAAGAAAGACGAGAAGACAGTCGAAGTCTGAGGCAAAATGATGAGCGAGATAGCAGGATGCTTGAAAATTCAAAACCTCAAGGACAGTCAAAGTTGCAAGAAGGCAACATGAGTACTGATGTTTCAAATTTGGGAAAAAGTGGTGGAGTTTACATCCCCCCATTTAAGTTGGCCCGGATGATGAAAGACGTTGAAGATAAAAGTAGTGTTCAGTATCAGAGATTGACATGGGATGCCCTCCGAAAGAGTATCAATGGCCTTGTGAACAAGGTCAACGCTGCGAATATAAAAAATATAATTCCTGAAATTTTTGCAGAGAATCTGATTCGTGGAAGGGGTCTCTTTTGCCGTTCATGCATGAAATCACAGATGGCATCTCCAGGTTTCACTGATGTGTTTGCAGCATTGGTTGCTGTTGTCAACACAAAGTTTCCTGAGGTTGGTGAACTTCTGTTGAGAAGAATTGTCTTACAGCTTAAGAGGGCATTTAAACGGAATGACAAGGTGAGTTTTTGCCCATGCTTTGTTATTTTACTTTACCACTTTAGTGTTTGCTGACAGAATATGTCTTTTATTTAGATTGATTCTAATTCTCTTCTTTAACTGGCTTTACTTTTGAACAGCCACAACTACTAGCTGCCGTTAAATTTATAGCACATCTAGTCAACCAGCAAGTGGCTCATGAGATTATTGCCTTAGAATTGCTGACCGTTTTGCTGGAGAACCCCACCGATGACAGTGTTGAAGTAGCTGTTGGCTTTGTCACCGAGTGTGGATCAATACTGCAGGACCTTTCACCTAAAGGGCTCCATGGTGGGTTTGCTGTTTGATTTGTTAGCATTTGTGCGCTTTTGGGTTTTATTCATTAATGAGATTTATGTGTTTATGAACAATATATTCTTTCTATCTGCTTATTGTGCGTTGTATCTTCCTAATATTATAATTAGGACTTACACACTGCTACATTATACCATTTTCCCTTTTCAGTTTTTTGTTTAGTTTATTTTTCAACTTATCAGTAGACAAATTAAATCGATGTGAATTTGGACCAGTTAAAGGTTAGAACATTGTCTTTGATGATATGTAAGATAGATGTGCACCCATTTTAAATTGACTGCATTAGATGCTGTTTCAAGTGGATCTTCGTTCTGGTCATCTGGGTTCTTCTCTTGGTTACTGTACTGTCTCATTTACCTTGAACATTATATTTTATAGCGTTCATAGTACATTTTCCTTTTCAGGGAGTTGTTTGACATTGCTCTTATTGTTTGTAATTTTTGCAGGCATCTTTGAGCGCTTTCGTGGAATTCTTCATGAGGGAGAAATAGACAAAAGAGTGCAATATTTGATTGAAAACTTGTTTGCAACACGAAAAGCAAAGTTTCAGGTTGAGTGACTTGAGTCTATTTGTCTTTGTGATGGTAATTTATATAGAAACAAAACACTGAGAGCTTACAATTTGTTGTTTTCATGTCCATTTGCAGGGGCACCCAGCTGTTCGTCCAGAACTGGACCTTGTGGAGCAGGAAGACCAGTTGACACATGAACTTTCTCTTGAAGAGGAGATAGATCCAGAAATTACCCTTGGTATGTCTTATCTTATGATGTAAATTTATTTATAGCTTTTTTTTAACGTACCAGGGCTCTATTCATTGTGGATGTGAATGTTTTGATTTGTGCTCATTTAGATATTTTCAAGCCCGATCCTGATTTCCTTGAGAATGAGAAGCGCTATGAAGAATTGAAGAAAACCATACTTGGTGAGGAGTCTGAAGATGAAGAAGGTTCTGATGCAGTTTCAGATGGCGAGGATGATGACGAGGACGATGATGATGAAGAATCTGAGGAAGAGGATGAGCAGCAGATGCAAATAAGAGATGAGACAGAGACAAATCTTGTAAATCTTCGAAGAACAATCTATCTTACAATCATGTCCAGTGTAGATTTTGAGGAGGCGGGTCATAAGCTCCTGAAGATTAAACTTGAGCCTGGTCAAGAGGTGAGTGTTACAAGTCATGCATGGTGTTGCTATCTTGTTATACATGATAAGTAGTAAACTGGATGGGTCTATGTGTCATCTTAGAATGAACTAGAAATAGTATCAATGTAGAACTGCTTGTTCTTGGTTAATAATCAGTTAACCACAATCCTAATGATTTGAGTTTATGTTATCCTAATATGAAGATTAATTATTATATGAACCGAATTAAATTGCAAGTGTATGAATCATGTGTAGACTGAAGAGTGTATTACAGGATTATTCTGACGAGGATTGACTTGGGACAACCTATTTGTATTATTAGTTAGTTAGCCAATTTAACATAAATTTTGACTAATCTAAGACGAATATTAAAGAGTGAAAGAAAGAATTTTACATGAATCCGAAGGGAAGGTGGTCGACCATGCTCTGGTTTACAAGAGGCCGACCACTTTTACCAGTGGCATTCTCTATCTTGTTTGTCAGGTTGAGAACCCTAAGTTTTAGAATATTGTTTCAAGCAATTTCACAGTAAAGTTTTTGAAACTCTATGAGTGCACAGTGTTTGTTATCTTGACTTTCACAGTAGTTGACGAATGATAATTGTCTTGATTTGACCTTACAGATGGAACTATGTGTCATGCTTTTGGAATGTTGCAGTCAGGAGAGAACCTACCTCCGTTATTATGGTCTGTTGGGGCAGAGGTTCTGTATGATCAACAAAGTCCACCAGGAAAATTTTGAGAAATGCTTTGTCCAGCAGTATTCCATGATCCACCGGCTTGAAACAAATAAGCTACGTAATGTTGCGAAGTTTTTCGCCCATTTACTCGGCACAGATGCCCTTCCCTGGCACGTGTTAGCCTATATACGATTGACGGAAGAAGACACTACTTCATCTTCTCGTATTTTTATCAAGATCCTTTTCCAGGTAACAAAGGGGAAATTTTGTTTTTGTACAATTTCTGTTCGGTTTTTTAGGACTTTAATTGCTTGTTACAATGTTGGCAGCTCTGTATCCGCTTATGAGATGGTTCAACTTAAATTTGATCATAAAGTTTAACCTAAGATGTGATATGTTGTGGGTATGCTGACAAGTTTTAGTTACTGCTGCCTCTGAATAAATCCTTCACTTTTAAACATTTTGTAACTCATTGGGAGCATTGACAGATCTGATTGGGAAGAAGAAGAGTAAAAGATTAGCAGATAAATGTGGGTTAGTTGAGAATAGTTCTGAATCACAATTACATCTGATAGGTTGGGGTGGGTGGGGGTATACCTGGCATTCATTAGTGACCTCTGCCTCGGAATAAATGCTTGTCCATGCAACGGCCTTTTGTTTTTTGTATACCATGAGAGGTGGAACGTAGGCTCATGTTTTTGCCTTTAATATCTCGAAACTCAATGCATTAAAATATCATTACCAACCAAATTTAAGCCTTTTTTCTTTGGCTAATTTCTGGTGTTAAGATTTACTTCACAGGTCTGAAGATGATTTCTTAGAGAATGTTGATGTACAGTTCGTACAAATTTGTAATTTGTTATTGTTTCTGGTGTGCAGGAATTGTCGGAACATCTTGGCATCCGTTTGTTAAATGAGCGGCTCACTGATCCTTCAATGCAGGATTCTTATGATTCTATTTTCCCAAAGGATAATCCCAAGAACACTCGTTTTGCCATTAATTTTTTCACATCCATTGGGCTTGGTGGCATCACTGAGAACCTGCGTGAGTACTTGAAGCATATGCCACGACTCATCATGCAACAACAAAAGCAGTGTCAGACTCAGAATCTGAGAGTTCAGGTTCATCCGATTCGGACTCTGAGTCTGAATCAGAACCATCAAGCTCTGATGAAAGTGACAGTGATAGTGACGGACGGCACAAGAAGCGTAGGAGTGAAAGTGATAGGAAGGAAAGACACAAGAGGCGTAGGAGAGATTAAGTTCTTTTACTGCCTTGGAAATACATATCACGATGTTCTCAATGAAACACAAGAATTTTTCGTTGATTTTCCAAGTTATGGGAGAAAATGAGTGGGACAAATATGTTGTAACTCTACGAGTCTGTTCACTGTATAACACCAGTTGAAATTTTTGCAGTTCTAAGTCATTGTAGTCATTAAGCATGTTCACAATATTATGGTTTCTGCTAGAGTACATTGTTTGAGCAGTGGTTTCCAATTTTGGTGTTCTTTGAGGAATGCTTTTAGGTTCTCTTTTGTTCATTGTGCTGCTTCTTCTTCTTCTTCTTCCTTATTTGTATTAAGAAGTCCGTTTGGGTTTTGGGCCTTTGCCCATTGTGTATTATAACTTTGAATCTTGGAGATGCAGTAAAGAAGGATAGATCTTCACCTTATTATTAAAGTATGAAGTTTGAGTAACAAAATAGTATCATGAAGCATGACGTAGATTAGAAGAATGTTAAATCAAATCAAAAAATTTGACACAAAAACAAATTAACACATGAAAATTAGAATTTACATCGCACCATTGAAGGAAAAACTGCATTTACATTTACCGGAGATGTAAATGAGACCTCTCTCCTGGATATGCTCACAGGCCAAGTTTGCATCTTGATATCCCTGTGGGGACAGCCTTGTTGATAAGTTGTGACTTGAAAGTGAGCCAGAACACACAACAATCATCACAATGTGCTGCTGCCTGCCTTCCAAGTTACTTCACAGTTTCAGCTTTGGCTCAAAATTGACCACAGCTTTAGACTTCCTGCACTTCTGCGTCACTTCATATCGATGGAATTACGAAGAAGCTCACTTCTGCAATAATATCTTCTTGAATCTTTATGTCGTGCATAATTTTAAGCCTTGTATTGTATATCCAATTTCGAATAATTGGTCCTCTATTGTCGATTGTGGCTATGTCCATCTAATCACAAAATGACCAAGTTCTAGAGGTCCTTGTGTTTATTAGTGAAAGCTACTGGATGTAGAAAACTTGAGAGAGACCTGTGAGAGCTACAGCTACTGCCCTATATTCTTTAACTTCGTCTTAAAAAGCAGAGATTTTTGCTCATAAACCATCTTGCTCTTTGAGTATTGAATGATCCCAACTTGCCTATTTGTCAGCAATTCAAATTTATTTGTATGAAAACAAAGGGAACCAACCACTTAACCATTTTTAAAGTTATTTTTTCATGACCCACACAGCCTTGTAACTTGTAAGCAATGTCAAAGCCAAAATGCAAGTAACAATATATCTGCCTGCAGTTAATTATAAGCAAAATTAGTGAATGTAAGTATAACCTGCATGACGAGCTGTCACACCTGACAGACAGGCTTTGCCTTGTGCTGTGCCTCATGATCTCTTGATTTTTCGTGTTTTCTGTATTTGTGAATCTAAAATCAAGAAAGTCTGCAGCATTGGCAACAAACAACCAATAAGACCTCTTGCTCCAATTAGAAAGACAATATTATTTTAGTACTAAACTTCACTTATTTTCACCTAAACCAAACCAGAAGGACTTTTTTTCTGTTGCTTTTTTATTTGAAGGAGGCATATTGTTTTGCAAATTGTTAGCACATGAGGGGAATCTTTGTACAATTTGTGCCATTCCTTTTAGCAGGAAAATGTCAAAAGACATGTATAGTTTGGCAGTGCATGCTGCATATATGTGAAAAAAAACAAAATTTGGTGAGCACATATGTCCCACCACATGCAAGAAGAGCCAGTCGAAATGAATTTGGTATGACTTTGAGCTCATTGTGATTCTTTCTACGCAATCACAGATCAATAAAAACCAGATTAAAATTTCATAAATGGCTGTGATGACATCAAATTGTCTTGCTTTGCCCTTTTGGGAAGACAGTCAAAGATTTGTTTTATTGTTCAGATTGCATTCATCCATTTAACTCATCCCAAAAAAAAATAAAAAAAAGGTCACATGATGCTCTCACGGTTGGGGTTGTTCCAGTGGGAAAACCCAGTACATAGTTTTTTCCAAGAATCAAATTGTTTGTAGCCTGTTTCTTCAACTGGAGGACAAACACAAAAAATTGCCAACCAAAGAGGACAAATACAAAAAATGGAAAGGAAACTTGTATCACAGGTTCACAATGCTTTGCACTGAAATGAATGATTGAAGATGAATCCCTGTCAAAGTGACTCACCAGATATTCATGTAACTTCGATGTGTCGCTTTCGGACTAGGGCAAGGGTAAAATCAGAAATTTTTCAATGGGTGGGCTAACAAAAGTTATTAGCTTAAAATCTAATGATAATTTTTTTTTGCACTTACATTTTCTATTTTTTTTCTAGAAATAAAAGTATACATTAAATCATGCTAATTATAAACACAAGAAGAAGAAAAAAATTAGAGCCATATTATTCACGAAAGGGTGAATTTCATTTTATAAAGATATTTCTCTTTTGGAGACAAATTAATAGAAAAAATTTTAAAATTAATGTTGGGACAAACTTTGACACCAAATACAAATGTGGAAGACCTTAGACTATGCCTATTGGTGTTGAAATTGTATATATTTTTATTTATTTATAGTTAAAATATTAGGCTATATGTATATCTAATTTGTTTTTTTCCCAAATCTTCACTGGGCTACAGCGAGGGCAGCCCTTGCTTTTGTTCTGTTCTTGGACTAGGGATGCTTAAACAAATATAACTATAACACCGTCCCGTGATGTTATTAATTCAAAAAGAAAAAGAAAAAGTGTCCAGCCAAGTTTGGTAAAAGGGTGGGCTCTCTCTTGAGCGTGTGGTGTGATGTAACAGAGGAAGCAACATTGTTTGGAATTAGTCATAAATTCTTGGAGGTTGTTAATACAGCTGTAAAGATGAAAGAGAATGGCAATACAATTTGTTCAAACGTAGCTACCAATTTGAAATTATCTTAATCCACATGGAGACATGCGGTGTGGCTCAATGTTTAGATATTACTTACTTAGTTTGGAACTATGTGCAGGATTAATAATTATAATTAAGACAATGTTGCTTTACCTGAAAGATGATAAAAAATTTGGAATTCAAAAGGAATTTGAGTTTGCTTTTCCATCCAAAACAATCAAAACTTTTGGTATATTCTGAATAACAATCGCTTGACTAACCATCAATTACAATTATATTTAAAGAAAATGAAAACAGAAAGAAAAAGTTCAAATGTTAGAAATTTCAGTTAAAATGGAGCGAAAAGAAGGCCATTTGTTGGAGGGATATAAGGAGATAATCAAACACAAATAATGGCATCGGGGTCGTCTTGGTTTGGTGCTGTATGCCTTTCTTCTTGGATTCAGATGGCCTCAACCTCAACCCCCAAAACCTCGCTTGGTCAAACCCCTCCTCAAAACACGACACCATATCCGTGATCCTCACCTCTCTCTCTCTCTCTCTCTCTCTAGTCATAGCTTGTAGATAGATATGGTAAATCAGATTCTGTGGAATTATTGCTCTGTAGATATTATAAATCAACTTCACGCAAAAACCATTCTTTGCTTTCAAGAGATGGTTTCGGATATCCCTTGCTATCTTGGACTCTAGCTTCTCTGCTCGTGTGTATAAATATAGGCCCCTCACTCTCAGTCTCAGTCTCTCACTCCCACATGTGCTTCTGCCTTTAACTTTTTCTTGGTCTCTCTTCCTTTATACACTTGTTAATTCAATTTATACTCAGAATATGTGTTTTCGATCACGTTCCTCCCAAGGTCACTGAAATTGGAATTCCCTGTCTTCAGGGTTTTGCCAAAAATAGATGCTTTGATTTTATTTACTTGAATTTTGAGGTCAAACTGATTGTTTTCTGTGCTCTGTTCTCTGTTCTTATGGAGCTTTGTCACTTTGATGAGATTTTCTTTGTTGGGTTTTGTTAAAAATTGAACCTTTTGATTATTGGCAGTTGAATGTGAAGTTGTGAACTCCATTTGACTGCTTAGTGGTTTGTTGGTATTCACTTGCTTTCAATCAGATTTGGGTTAACTTTAAATCGAAAGAATGTTTTTTTTTTTTTAATGAAAAGGGTCTTTCTGTCTATTGATTTATTAGCGGTGTTTATAATCATTTTTCTATGTGGTTTTTCTCTGGGTAAGGAGTGTACCAACATTCCTACTCAGCTCTCATCACATAGTTTTCGACATGAGCTTTTATCTTCCCACAATGAAACACTGAAGGAAGAGATGTTCTCATACTACCACTTGATACCAACCGATGATTCTGCGTGGATGAATTTGCTTCCAAGAAAGATACTGAGGGAAGAAGATGAAAATGAATGGGCAATGATGTACAGGAAAATGAAAATTCCAAATGGTTTTGAGGCCTCTGGAGGCTTTCTTAAGGAAGTGTCATTGCATGATGTGAGGTTGGATCCAACTTCACAACATGGACGGGCACAGCAAACAAATTTGGAGTACCTATTGATGTTAGACTCAGATAGTTTACTTTGGAGCTTTCGGAAGACAGCAGGTTTACCAACAATTGGGACACCATATAAGGGGTGGGAGGAGCCGACTGGTGAGCTTCGAGGTCATTTTGTAGGTCAGTGTTATTTGTTAACTCGTTCTTTTTGTTTTCTTTGTTGAAATTGTTAATCTTGATGATCACAGTGTTTGTGTAATTTCTATGTTGTCGCATAGTACTACATTTCTACATTCATATTGTCTTCTCGTGCTTTATAAAATGGGATTACGATTTTATTAAAGCTAATTTCATTTCTGTTAATCTTTGTGAGACTGCCATAAATGGAAGGCACTTATGGAAGTGCCCCTTCCATCTTAGTTTGGAGAACACTTGCACATTGTTCGGATTATTGTGAAGAATGAATAATATGATACAAATGCATACATTTCCTCCGCATTCTCCTCTCTATCCAGACAATGGTGTGGAAAGGTCTAGTATCTGTCACTAGTTCTCAAATTTCATGGCGCCATGGTACTCCCCTTTACAGCAAAGGGCTTACCTTCAATTGCAATTTTAATTTATAATATTCAGCTTGTACTTGTATGGTGATGTATAACGAACAGCTTGCTTTTGTATTTTGAAGGGCATTACTTGAGTGCATCAGCACTAATGTGGGCTAGCACTCACAACAATACCCTCAAAGATAAAATGTCTGCAATAGTGGACAATCTATATCTTTGTCAGAAGAAAATTGGCAGTGGATATCTTTCTGCTTTTCCATCTGAGCAATTTGATCGATTTGAAGCTATTAAGCCTGTCTGGGCTCCTTATTACACCATTCACAAGGTAGAATATTCTTAATTTGTTTCACTAGAGCAATTACTTCATTTTGACTCAAAGGGTCATGATTAGCTTTTCCACTTTTCTACTTTGACAGATCTTGGCAGGCCTATTGGATCAATATACATATGGTGAAAATACTCAAGCTTTAAAAATGGTGACATGGATGGTCGATTACTTTTACAACCGTGTTCAGAATGTAATTTCAAAGTACAGCGTAGAAAGACATTATCTGTCACTTAATGAAGAAACCGGTGGCATGAATGATGTTCTTTATAAGTTATATGTTATCACAGTAAGTAAGATTACCTACAAAATACCTTTTGCTCTTCCTCCAGATCATTCACTTTACTTGCGCACAATTAGTTTGCCTGTTCAGCATTAGTAGGAAGTACCATTCATAGTTGTCATGACCTTTCTTTAAAAGTATGCATTTGGGGAAATGGAACTACCCATGTGTGTCATATGGCTCATTTAAAAAGTATTAAAATGAGGACATGAGAAGTTCACCTTGTATGGTGTAAATGGCCGTAACCTAATCATTATAGGTTTTAATTGATTTTTCTATTTTTCTCTGTGGTTCAGTAAGTCCCTGGCACCATCTTAGGACTCTAGTCCTAAGTTTCCATATATATATATATCTGTGCGTGTGCGTGTGTGTGTGTGTGTGTGTGTGTGTGTGAAGTACTTACAGTATTGTGGACATCAGGGTTGTGGTATTAACAATTCTTTTTTACTATGCTTAGAGAGATACGAAGCATTTGTTGTTGGCTCATCTTTTTGACAAACCATGCTTTCTAGGATTGCTGGCAGTGCAGGTAACCATCATTTTCTGTTCAATACCTATAGTTAGGTTTCTTACAAATTTTATCTTCCTTTCTCTTCCGTGAGTAGACATATAACAAACGCCAATTGGAAATCAGTATACTCTTTGCGAACAAATATTGCTCCAAACATCGTTGCTTTTATATGCTGGAAGAAATAAAACGAGTCTCCAGTCCTGAAATTTGGACTTTTTTGCTTTAGATAATGTCATATGCTATAAGTCAAGACAATTCCATGTTTGTTAAAATCTGGTTCAAACTACCTCATGGTCTAATGAGTGCACCAACTGTCTGAGGTTGCAGGAATAAGCCCTGCATTGGTCCTTTGTATTAGATGATGAGTATAAATGTAATCACCCAGATAGCACTGTTATATACTTCTGATTAGCTAACAAATGGGGCAGTAACTTTGAGAATTGAACAGAAAGAAAGCTAAAGTCGTTGACACATTTGTTTTGAGGTCAAAGTTTAATGTTTCATGTGTTGTCCTGATACATAGATGTAAGTTTTTGTCTGAGAGATGAATACTGTAGTATGCAGGGTACTGAAAACAGGTAGACATAATATGGAATATCCAAAAAGTACTTAATAGATATATAAAGACAGAAAGAAAAATTTGTACTTCTAACTTAACAAAGACAAGCTCCAAATTTGGTAAGATGTTTTATACTTCGTAGGCAATGTACATTTGGGACTTTAGCATACGACCATAATCTAAATGGTAGGGAACTGATTCACTGGTTCTGGCTTTTTCAGTCTCTTTCTATAGTTAGGACAGTTCTGTTTCTAGGTTCTATGAACCTTATCTCTTGGAACCCCTCTCATCAAGTAGTTCTTTTTGGTAGGCTGACGACATATCTGGTTTTCACGCTAACACGCATATCCCAATTGTAATTGGTTCTCAAATGCGATATGAAGTCACTGGTGATCCACTTTATAAGGTAAATGATTTGTCTATATTATATAGCATCTGAACTACAATTCTCAACAAAGCCTGATATCCTCTCTACTGTTTATGTATGAGCTTAACAAATAGGCTTTTTCCCCCTTGCACTCCATGTGTGCTTGTAAGGATGTTACTTCTCTTTTTAAAATGGTTTGCACTTGCATTTTTAATTCCTATTTTTAATCTTTAGATTACCATCTTGTCTATTTCCTTATTCAGTGACTAAATCACTAGTACTTTTTAATTTCACTGAAGGCTTATGCTATTAGAGAAGCGTTTTTTATTCTAACATTTTTAACAAATCTGGAATTGTCAGGAAATGGGGATTTTCTTTATGAACGTTGTTAACTCTTCCCACAGCTATGCAACAGGAGGGACATCAGTCAGTGAGTTCTGGTACTAAAATTAAGCTTACTAAAGTATTGGTTTCAGTTCATTCGTAATAAGCTCTTCTTTTTGCTTGAAAAGTCTAGATGCATCCCTTTATCTGGTTATGGCTAGTTTCTTTTGGACTTGTTTCTTAACCAGAAGTGTTATGATCTGCTTTCCTCAACTTGTGAGCAGGTCAGACCCTAAAAGATTGGCAAGCACTCTACAAACAGAGAATGAGGAGTCGTGCACGACTTATAACATGTTGAAGGTATGCCTGTTGTTATTGTTCTCAAGGCTTCTGTTGGATTTTTTCAAAGTTGTGTAGGAAGTTGATTGATTGCTTTTAATATCTATTAATTTCATAAAGCAAGACCCGGGTGTCACCCTTCCTCCTACTGAGACTTATCTTATATAATACATGATATCTGTTGGTTTTTAGTTTACTGTTGAAAGAGGTACAACTATGGGACGTCTACAAACACACACACACAAAAAAGCAGTGCAAAACTTCATCATTCACTTTATAGTTTTCATGTTATTTACCATAAAGGCCCAGGTGATTCGGCAACTTTAGCACATCTCAATCATCTTGTAGGTCTCTCGCCACCTGTTTAAATGGACCAAAGAAACAGCATATGCGGATTATTATGAACGAGCTCTGACAAATGGTGTGCTAAGCATCCAAAGAGGGACAGAGCCTGGAGTCATGATTTACATGCTCCCACTTGGTCGTGGAGATTCCAAGGCCAGAAGCTACCATGGTTGGGGAAAACCATTTGAGTCGTTCTGGTGCTGCTATGGCACTGGTAAGAGATTGCTTGGGACTGCTTGTCCTTTTTAACTTTCTTTTCAGGGAATTTCAGCTTTTTTTTAAAACTTTCATGATCTATATATCGTAATGATGTGCTTTCTCACTTTCAATTTGATATGATTCAAGCAAAATCATTTAGACTGTGATTCCTCTTGTTTCTGTTATAGGTACTGCGTAATAACCATCAGTTATGTGTCTCTTCTTAATGCTTTTGTAGGAATTGAATCATTCTCAAAGTTAGCAGATTCCATATATTTTGAAGAGGGAGGAGAAGTTCCTGGTCTTTACATTATCCAGTATATATCAAGCTTGCTTGATTGGAAATCTGGACAAATTGTGCTTAATCAGACAGTTGATCAAGTCAATTCATGGGATCCTTACCTTAGAGTCACATTGACATTTTCTTCAAAGGAGGTATACATACATCGACATTGGCATTAACATTATCATATGATTCACTTATTTCAGTGTTGACAATTCATCTTTTCTGCATCTGCTTCCTTAGTCTTTCAGTTTCAACTGTGTTTCTACCTTGTTTTCTGTAATATGTAGGACACTTCTTATAATAATGTTGTGTGAAACACTTGCAAGGATGCCACCGTACACACATCCTCCTTTGTTTGACACTCATTTAGAAACCTGTAAAAGAGATCACCCTTGTCTACTTATTAGTTGTGTATTATTTTTGGCCTGCATGTGACCTGTGCATTTTGGTATAGACATACACGTGCATGTTTTCAGTTTATAGATTCACCAAAACAAACGCATATAGTGTCTTTTGTCTCCAGACATGAGAGTTGTCTTGTGTCCTTTCTGTGCCTAACATAGATCTTTATAATGGATTTAAATGATGCAGGGGACAGGTAAATCATCTACCTTGAACTTGCGAATGCCTATTTGGACTGCTTCAAATGGTGCAAAAGCAGCATTGAATGGTCAAAGTCTGAGTGTACCAGCTCCAGGTGTGAGATAACTTGCAGTTTCCTCTCTATTTCTGCAGTTGCATTTCTGATCCTCTTTGCCGTGTTTGTTAGGCGCAAACTATAGGCTTAACTGATATTATTTTCCTATTTCTGATGCAGGTAGTTTCCTATCTGTCACAAGCAAATGGAGTTCTGGTGACACTTTGACCCTTCAGCTACCCATTAGTCTAAGAACAGAGGCTATTCAAGGTACTTTTGTTAAAAATCCATTTCAACAAGTATATACATCTGCCACTACCTAGGATACATGGCTTTATCAATAAGCAAAAGATTTGTTTTGTGAATGATATATAACTGACAAAGTCCTTTGAACAAAATTCAGATGATCGGCCTGAGTATGCTTCAATTCAAGCAATTCTTTATGGTCCATATCTGCTTGCAGCTCATACCAGCGGTAACTGGGACATTAAAACTGGCTCAGCTAAAACCATTGCCGACTGGATAACTCCAATCCCTTCTTCATACAATAATTTTTTGGTTTCCTTCTCCCAACAATATGGAAACTCAAAATTTGTCATAGCTGTCGTAAACCAATCGATTTCATTGGACGTCTTTCCTGAAACTGGCACTGACGCTTCTTCTCATGCCACTTTCAGACTCATTTTAAACGACTTGTCCACAAAGCTCTCTACAGTGAATGATGCTATTGGCAAGTCAGTCATTCTAGAACTGTTTAATCTTCCAGGAAAGGTTTTAGTGCAGCAAGGGAAAGACAAGAATCTTGGGATAGCAGATATGTCCAGTAGTAAGGACTCTTCAGTTTTCCATTTGGTTCCAGGTTTGGATGGAAAGAACACAGTATCCTTAGAGTCAGAAAGCTTCAAAGGTTGCTTTGTGTACAGTGAAAAAATTGAGGCACTGGCAGGCTTGAAGCTCGTCTGCAGTCCAGAGTCATCGGATGCTGGATTCAACCAGGCAGCCAGCTTTGTAAAGAGTAATGGAATAAGCCAGCATCATCCTATCAGCTTTGTGGCTAAAGGAGCAACAAGGAGCTTTCTTCTAGCACCATTGTCGAGCTTCAGTGATGAATCTTACACTGCTTATCTCAACATTACAGTCTGATAAGTAGGGACAGGATTGTGGAAACCAGAACGAATCTATTCAATATCAAACTATTTATGGTAGTTTTTATTTTTCTCAGAGTGGCAGCCGTTACTTCAAATCCCTTAATTGCTTTTGCAGATAGGGATCTTATTTAGAAATCCCCGAGTAGTGTTCATCTTGTATATTCATCTTCTACAAAGAAAGAATTTCTGTAGCTACATCGAAGATGATTTAACTGCAGTTTGCTTCTACATGAGGATATTCAGAATTTGAAATATGAAAAGATTATAACATTGCTAGGAAGTTTGTAGTGCCTTTTGGGTTTATGGGATATATATAGACTTGTTGAATGTCTTCAACCATGGGGATTATAGTTTGGTTTTGCAATTTGCTTCAAGCTCTAGTTGCTCATAAACTCTTGGCATTTAAATTGCTTGTACAACTCTACCAAAAGTATTTTGGTAGCTGAAATTGGCTTTGGTTTAGAAGAGCGGGACCTAGCTAACGAATATTAATATTATTGAGGTTGATATAAATAACCATTGAAAATGGCCTTGAGTTGCACATCATTGGTAAGAAAACATTGCCAAACAATTCACAAATATTGACTCTAATATTTAGTTTTCACTTTATTAAAGGAAGCTCTAAGTTCGAATCTCATGAAAAAAAGTTAGTTTTGTTGGATTAAAAAAAATTTACTCTAATAATATAAACTACGTAACCACTAGCTGTCCGTTACATTGGCTCATCTGTTGGCTACTCTCCAACCACTAGCTGTCCGTTAATTCATGCCCCCATTGTAGCTTCCAAGGGAAGAGTGTATCCACGGCTTCTCATCATGACTTTTTGTACGGTTCTCACAAACGGCGCCAATTGTTGGAGTAGGATTTCTTTCAGGAAGAAATACCTCCACAGGTTCTTGACTGAAGTCTGCACGCTTCCTTTGTTGAAAAAGAACTCCAGATCATGTTTCGAGAACGAACGATGGAAATGGGGTGAGTACCTGCAAAAGCCACTCCGACGCTCAAGTCAGTGTTTGTGCAACGAACTCTTAGTGCTCAATTGAATTTCACGTACCTTTGCTGGTCTAGTTGAGTTTTTATAGCGCTTCGAGTTCTTGGGTTTAGCCCCACTTCCCTAGCTCTGCACATCCCATCCTCCACTTCATGGTAATGGGGTTCAGATGACCGGGTTGTCTCCCTCGCTCCATACAGTAGGTATTTATACCAGATGTATCGCCATGTTCCGGTTGAATCGAACGAAAGATAACACAGTACGTAGTTAAAATGTATTTCATATTGGGTTGCATTAGCATCACCATAATGTAGGATATCAAAGTAACTAATATATCTTCTTTATTCAATTTGAATCTTATTCCATCAGTTTTGCACATTAGGACATCCACCAACCACAAATGCTTCTAAACGAGTTTGGTGCCCATGAGAAATCATTGGGGGACTATTAGGCGTTAATGCATCTCCAACTTGCAATCTGTAGGACATCATGTCATTTGCAGTCTTAAACAATGGGTGGTGGGCTTTTGCCCTCTCAAGTCATCCACTGTTATAAATAAGAAAAAAAAAATTACAAAATAAGTGAAAATTATTCAAAAATGTCAATAATACCCTTGTTTAATGAAAAACCTTAAACTATAGCAATTTAATATATAATCATGACAAAATAATGGCTAAAAGACATTGACTAGTATTTTGCTTACCAGAGTCTACGATCTCTAGATATATAGCTTAGAAAATTATCCAATTCCACAGGCACTCTGACTGGGAGGAAAAACAATCGGACGATCAAGACAAATAACAAAACATCATCTGCTAGTTGTGGTGATGTGCGCATCCTGGCAAGCTTTGTCCGGCCATTCACGATATAGATATTTCTATCTAAAATATCCAAGTGGCCACGGCCAACAATGAGACTAAATATATCACTGTAAAAACAAAATTAGCATATTAGGTAGAAATATAGTTGTAATTTTATTTTTTGGATTCTCATTATATAAATGTGATAACTTAGTCTAAAATTATTTGTTAATGTTCAATTCAAGCCATCCATCATCGAGTTTTGATGAACCCAAGTATACAAGCTCGTAGTTGCTGGCTATGTAAGTACGAGAGTACACGTTGTCACATCACGTTGTATTCTGTCATACCCAAATACCCTAAGGTATAAGGGGTCGCTTTGGTATGCTACATGTAACCAATCCCAAGCCAGATCATCCTCATTAGATAAAAACAAGTGGTAACTTGCTGGATATAGCTGATCCCAAATATTAGGCCCATGTATATTTCCTGCAAACATGTTGGTTACATGTGGCATACCAAAGTTACCACATGTTTGTAGACCATACACAGGGGCCTAATCCTTGAAATCAGCTATATCCAGCAAGTTACCACCTGTTTTTATCTAATGAGGATGATCTGGCTCAGGATTGGTTACATGTGGCATACCAAAGCGACTCCTTATACCTTAGGGTATTTGGGTATGACAGAATACAACGTGATGGGACAACATGTACTCTCGTACTTACAGAGCCAGCAACTACGAGCTCGTATACTTGGGTTTGTCAAAACCCAATGATGGATGGCTTGAATTGCACATTTACAAATAATTTTAGAGTAAGTTATCACATTTATATAATGAGAATCCAAAAAATAAAATTATAACTATATTTCTACCTAATATACTGATTTTGTTTTAACAATGATACATTTAGTCTCATTGTTGGCTATGGCCACATGGATATTTCATATAGAAATATCTATATCGTGAATGGCCAGACAAAGTTTGTCAGGATGCGCACAGAACCACAACTAGCAGATGATGTTTTGTCATTTGTCTTGATGGTCCGATCGTTTTTTCTCCTAATGAGAGTGTTTGTGGAATTTGATAATTTTCTAAGCTATAAATCTAAGAACCGTAGACTCTGGTAAGCAAAATACTAATCAAGGTCTTTTAGCCATTATTTTGTCATAATTATATTAAATTGCTATAGTTTAAGGTTTTTCATTAAGCAAGGGTATTATTGACGTTTTTGAATGATTTTCACTTATTATGTAATTTTTTTTTCTCTTATTTATAACAATGGACGACTCGAGAGGGCAAAAACCTACCACCCATTGCAGTTGCTTAAGACTGCAAGTGACAGGATGTCCTACAGATTGCGAGTTGGAGATGCATTAATGCCTAACAGTCCCCAAATAATTTCTCAGGGGCACCAAACCCGTTTAAAAGCATTTGTGGTTGGGGCTGTCCTAATGCGCAAAACTAGTGGAATAGGATTTAAATTGAACATAAAAGATATATCAGTTACTTTGATATCATACATTATGGTGATGCTAATGCAACCCAATATGAAATACCTCTTAACTACGAATTTACTGCGTTATCTTTAGTTCGATTCAACCAGAACATAGCGACACATCCAGTATAAATACCTATTTATCAGTATTCAATGATGTTTCTACTGCCATTCGAGATTGGCAACGCCTGTATTGATGACAAGGCACAAAAACATAGTCAAGTGACTCATAATAAACAATTTTATGCATCATACAAAGGAAGCCATTGATTGGAATGAGTTTTTCGAAGCTCAGTACGTAGAGTTTTGGAATGAGCAGCTGGGGATTGAATGTAAAATATTGCAAAGTTGTATTGTTGGGTGACTAAATAATAAAAGAGAAACTGGTAATCACACCAGATTGGGCTTTAGACTTTTAACTTTAGGCTTAAGTGTACAAGCCTAGCCACTACAATTAAATATTAGCCCACCTCTATCCTAGAAATCAGCCTATCCCACATCGGAGTTTTTTTCTTCTACCCACCAAGATCCGATCATCTAATATTATGTAGGTGTTGGCGGCAGGCCTAACAAATGGCAAAGGCTTTTAGTTTTATTTTTAACTTTCTATATATTAGTTATAATGATATTATATTAAGTAATTGGAAATATCACTGGTTTGGTTAAACCGGTGATTTTCAATATCCAATACCGAGCACCGAATCATAGGCACTAGTTTGGTTCAGTTTCAAAACGATTACCTAAAGAAAGAAGAAAAAAAATAAAACCAAACCATACCAACGGTTTTGTTTCTTACTGTCATTTTCTTTTCCTTAACTTGTTTTCATAATTCAACTTAGTATTAAATTAAATCCAAGTTACCCTTTTGTGAAAGGATTTAAAAAAAAAACTGCAGCTGCTCTCTTCTCAACCAAAGGAAAATAGGAGCAACAGCTGGCCGGAGGGGGCGGATCCACCATGGGGTCTTTACATTATCCAGTATATATCAAGCTTGCTTGATTGGAAATCTGGACAAATTGTGCTTAATCAGACAGTTGATCAAGTCAATTCATGGGATCCTTACCTTAGAGTCACATTGACATTTTCTTCAAAGGAGGTATACATACATTGACATTGGCATTAACATTATCATATGATTCACTCATTTCAGTGTTGACAATTCATCTTTTCTGCATCTGCGTCCTTAGTCTTTCAGTTTCAACTGTGTTTCTACTTTGTTTTCTGTAATATGTAGGACACTTCTCTTCTTATAATAATGTTGTGTGAAACACTTGCAAGGACACCGCCGTACACACATCCTCCTTTGTTTGACACTCATTTAGAAACCTGTAAAAGAGTTCACCCTTGTCTACTTATTAGTTGTGTATTATTTTTGGCCTGCATGTGACCTGTGCATTTTGGTATAGACATACACGTGCATGTTTTCAGTTTATAGATTCACCAAAACAAACGCATATAGTGTCTTTTGTCTCTAGACATGAGAGTTGTCTCGTGTCCTTTCTGTGCCTAACATAGATCTTTATACTGGATTTAAATGATGCAGGGGACAGGCAAATCATCTACCTTGAACTTGCGAATGCCTATTTGGACAGCTTCAAATGGTGCAAAGGCAGCATTGAATGGTCAAAGTCCGAGTGTACCAGCTCTAGGTGTTAGATAATTCAGAGTTTCCTCTCTATTTCTGCAGTTGCATTTCTGATCCTCTTTGCCGTGTATTTTAGACGCAAACTACAGGCTTAACTGATATTATTTTCCTATTTCTGATGCAGGTAGTTTCCTATCTGTCACAAGCAAATGGAGTTCTGGTGACACTTTGACCCTTTAGTCTAAGAACAGAGGCTATTCAAGGTACTTCTATTAAAAATCCATTTCAACAAGTATATACATCTGCCAATCCCTAGGATACATGGCTTTATCAATAAGCAAAAGATTTGTTTTGTGAACGATATATAACTGACAAAGTCCTTTGAACAAAATTCAGATGATCGGCCTGAGTATGCTTCAATTCAAGCAATTCTTTATGGTCCATATCTGCTTACGGCTCATACCAGTGGTAACCTGGGACATTAAAACTGGCTCAGCTAACTCCATTGCCGACTGGAGAACTCCAATCCCTTCTTTATACAATAATTTTTTGGTTTCCTTCTCCCAAGAATATGGAAACTCAAAATTTGCCATAGCTGTTGCAAACCAATCGATTGCATTGGACGTCTTTCCTGAAACTGGCACTGACGCTTCTGCTCATACCATTTTCAGACTCATTTTAAACGACTTGTCCACAAAGCTCTCTACAGCGAATGATGCATTTGGCAAATCAGTCATTCTAGAACTGTTTTATCTTCCAGGAAAGGTTTTAGTGCAGCAAGGGAAAGACAAGAATCTTGGGATAGCAGATATGTCCAGTAGTAAGGACTCTTCAGTTTTCCAATTGGTTCCAGGTTTGGATGGAAAGAACACCACAGTATCCTTCAAGTCAGAAAGCTTCAAAGGTTGCTTTGTGCATAGTGAAAACATTGTGGCCAGTGCAGGCATGAAGCTCGTCTGCAGTCCAGAGTCGTCGGATGCTGGATTCAACCAGGCAGCCAGCTTTGTAAAAAGTAATGGAATAAGCCAGCATCATCCTATCAGCTTTGTGGCTAAAGGAGCAACAAGGAGCTTTCTTTTAGCACCATTGTCAAGCTTCAATGATGAATCTTACACTGCTTATCTCAACATTACAGCCTGATAAGTAGGAACAGGATTGTGGAAACCGGAACGAATCTATTCGATATAAAACTATTTATGAAAGTTTTTTATTTTTCTCACAGTGGCAGCCGTTACTTCAAATTCCTTAATTGCTTTTGCAGATAGGAATCTTATTTAGAAATCCCAGAGTAGTGTTCATCTTGTCTATTCATCTTCTACTTGATTTCTGAGGTTCCTGTTGTTATTAGTATCCATGCTAATATGCTACAAAGAAAGAATTGCTGTAGCTACATCGAAGATGATTTAACTGCAGTTTGCTTCTGCATGAGGATATTCAGAATTTGAAATATGAAAAGATTATAGCATTGCTGGGAAGTTTGTAGTGCCTTTTGGGTTTATGGGATATATATATAGACTTGTTGAATGTCTTCAACCATGGGGATTATAGTTTGGTTGTGCAATTTGCTTCAAGCTTTATTTGCTCATAAACTCTTGGCATTTAAGTTGCTTGTACAACTCTACCAAAAGTATTTTCGCAGCTGAAATTGGCTGTGGTTTAGAAGAGCGGGACCTAGCTAACAAATATTAATATTATTGAGGATTATATAAATAAACATTGAAAATGGTCTTGAGTTGCACATTAGTGGTTTGAATTCCCCCTCCTCTTTATAATTTAGATTATCGCTTGTATTCAAAAGAAAAAAGAAAACATTGCCAAATAATTCACAAATGTTGACTCTAATATTCAGTGACGGATCTAGAATTTATAATTGGGGGGTGAACTTCATGCTCTGATGGAAAAAATATATTTTAATGTTCAAGGCACATAACAAGGCATAGATTTTAAAACACCAAGAATTGTAAACGGAGCAAAAGTTAGTTTAATAACCACAAAAAACAAGAAAAGAGGACAAAATTCAGGAGTTGCATGCATATATTGGAGGAGACATAAGAGTAAAACAACATTTTCTCTAATATAGATATGGGAAAATTTTGGTTGGGGGGGGGCGGGGCCAGGTCAGGCCCAGACATGGCTCCATCCCTGCTAATATTTAGTATTCACTTTCTTAAAGGAAGCTTGAGTTCGAATCTCATGAAAAAGAGAGTTGTGTTGGATTAAAACAAAAATTTACTCTAATAATCTAAATTATGTAGCAAAACATATTTATCAGTTATAAATCGCCGCTTATTTTATAACACGTAAATTAGTAACACCAACCGGATTAGAGTACTTGATGATGATTGACACATAAAAAAATAATTTTTTTTTTTTTTTTTTTTTTAAAAAGAGTAGGGATGTGACCCAATACAGTAAACAGAACAAAAGGCCCAACTGACCCCTATAGCTATGGAGAGTCCAATAAGCTTAGTGCCTTTTACTTTCAAACCGCGACCCAACTAGTATATATGGTGTTTCACCTAGGGTTTCAAATTTTTCGTCATCAATTAGGGTTTTAGGTTTCCGTATATCGGCGCAGAGCTTCAGAGCCATCAGCAATGGCGGACAAGTCGGGCCGAGGTAGAAAAGAAGAGGTCGTCACCAGAGAGTACACCATCAACCTGCACAAGCGCCTCCATGGATGGTATATATTTGTCTGTTTCTTCATTATTTCTAGCCCTGATGTTAATCTGTATGTGAGTCATTTCTCCGTAGAAATCTGTGAGTATTGTATGTCTGGTTGAAGATTGCGCCTCATTTTAGCTACTATTGTTTTGTTACATAGGCTTAGTTAATTCTTGATTGGAATTAAGATTGAACTTAAATTTCAATTAGATGCTTGGATTTGATTGAATTTGAATTTGATTTAAAAATGGGTGCTTTAAAAGGTGTAGGTCGAGTTAGAGTTAAAGAGGAAAAGAAAGTTTGTTTCAAAGCAAGCTCAGAGCCCAATTGTTCCCTTATAACATGTATCTTTTAGCTTAACCTTTTAGCAACTTTGCTTGTATCCACTAGTTCAATGGAGGTTCCATTGTTTATCTAGGAAAATAGGAAATGTAGTTGCATAAAGAAATTTATGGTTGAATTGTTTTTATTCAAGACAATTACATGCCTTGTGAATAATTGAAATAAATTATTATGTGAATTTGCATTTGAAATCAGATTTCAATGTATTGTCCTATGACCTATCCTAAGCTATTATTACCTTATAGTCAACAACACCATTGACAGTATTCGAGGTTTAACCTAATCATCTCCTAGGCCTCTGGTGTTAAGCCTTCGATTTGATGCTATCCCTGCTTCACAATCAAATGCTATGCACAGCGATTAAATTCAAGAGCTAGTTTGTTTAGTTGTACAAGATAATCAGATTTCATATAGGTACAAGTGAAAAAAGTTGCCTTAAAAATAGCCGTCACGAAAATCTTCTTGTCGGTTCTCTCTGTTTTTCCTTTGTATTGGTGCCATCATGAATTAATTACCCATGTTAATGGTATATCGCAGCTTTTATGCGCTTTGGTTATCCTTGAAAGAACATGGCCGTTCGGATCGAATAAATGTTGGTCTAAGTTAAACAGCTTTGTATATTTCTTCCATCCTTTCTTGCCCTTCTCTCTGGCATACTGTTTTTTTTTTTTTTTTTTTTTTTTTTTTGTATTGCTTGCAACTTCTGCGCAGGCCTTGTCCTTTTGATAGAAAAATCATAATGCTGTGGTTATTTGTTCTTTTGTAGCACATTCAAGAAGAAGGCACCAAATGCCATAAAGGAGATTCGGAAGTTTGCCCAGAAGGCTATGGGAACGACAGACGTCAGGGTCGATGTGAAGCTGAACAAGTTGATTTGGAGCCGTGGTATCCGAAGTGTGCCAAGGAGGGTTCGTGTACGCATTGCTCGTAGAAGAAATGATGAGGAAGATGCCAAGGAGGAGCTCTATTCTCTAGTAACAGTCACCGAGATTCCACCAGAGGGTCTCAGGGGATTAGGCACTAAGGTCGTTGATGCAGATGATTGAACCATTGGTAACTCGGCAATTGGTTTTGTTCCATATCTATTTTTAGTGCAAAATGTGGTAACTTTTGTTTAATGTTGAGAGAATCAAACACTTGAGAGCAGTAAAACAGTTGATGTAACTTGGATTGCGATCCAGTCTATCTTTAGTTCATAACTTTCTTGTGTCTTAAGAATTTTTTGTTTCATATTTATTGTGAGAAATTTTTTGGTGTGAGGTGGCCATTACTATTTTCTGTAGGCAGCACGAGAGCAATATCTTGGCATGTGGCTAGCCTTTTACTGCAGACGTGCACAATTACTGTTTCACCGTTTGGGGCCCCCCTTCTTCAATGCTATTTGTACTGATGGGACTCCGACTCGGAGAGTCATTATCTCACTAAAGCTTCACGTGTGATGTCTTTTAATTGGCCATTCTTGATCTGAAATCAATTTATTTTGTCAAACGGTCTTATTTTACGTCAATAGCTGTCGAAATGGCCAAATAGGTTGTGATTTTTTTTTTTTTTTTTTTGGTCGAAGGAAATGAAATTCCATTAACTTAGCAAATTACAAACATAGCAAAATACAAACAGGCCCAATACAACAAACAGAAAAGAACAAAAGCACAATCAAACAAAATAAAAGCCCAACCGTAATACACAGACTTGAGGCCCAACACAACAAAAAACCCTAAGACATACACAACCCTAAAAGCACACCCAAGAACTAAGCAGCCGCCACTGCTGCCACCCGATCTGCCGTCGCTGCCAGTAGAGGAAGGTCCATGAGAACCGACACAGGAGATCTGAAGAGCGTGGATTCGGGGAAGCGAGCCACCACCGTGCATCAAGCTCAAGCGATCTGTGGATTGGTCAAAATTGACCATTAAACTACAGAGCCAACGCCTCCAGAGCAAAAGCTCTGATTTGAGGATGGAGTGTAGGAGATGATTGTGATTTGGTACTGGAATTGGCGTGCCAGCTGAATCTTGTGGATATATGAGTTGTAGACACCTTAAGCTAAATGGAAATTCAAAACCTATTTAGACCAAAGCTAATCCTTAAACGAAAATGTTGAAAGAAAAAAGAATTTTAATTAGTTTGACAACTCAATTACGATAGCTTCATCCATGTTGCACGTACTTTCCTTAAAAAAGAAAAGAGTATTGATTTAATATTTCGGAGGACGTTCGAAGGGATTCGAACACATGATCTTAAAATTCAGTTGAGCTACAAATTGCGTGTACTTTCCTTAGATGTTAGGGTAACTGAGCTACAAATTTCTTGTTATTAACTCTTATTTTTATAGATGGCAAATTGGAAGAAAACTTAAAATTCAGGTATTTTAGATCTTGTATCCTAAGATGGAGGAGAATGAAAAAGTGATCTACAATTATTGAATGGTCACATCAATAAGGACATATTTTGCATGTAATGAGTCGACAGAGTTTACCCCTTTTCCTCTTTAATCCTATAATCACAGGTCAAAGATCATATGTTGGATGGGCCCCACCCAAATTTTCCATTGGATTCATGCAAAAATACGTGCATGAAAACAAAAACAAGAAACTCTTCGATTGTCATCATAATAATAACAACGTTTAAGATTGATTCAATATAATGAACGTAATTAAGCGGTAAACACACAATTAATTAACTCTCTCTCTCTCTCTCTCTCTCTCTCAATAATACAAACACCTTCACAATCTAATCTTAAGCATTTTTCTTTAGCAGACTTTAGTGGCTTCCCGCAAAGACAATCGTTGTAAGTAAACGACGACGCTTCGAGGTGATCGAACGGAGACCCGGCCGGAATTCTCCCACACAAGTGGTTATGGCTCAAATCCAAGTGCCCGATATACGAAGCCGAAATTATAGATTTCGGGAGATTGCCCCTCAAATTGTTGAACGATAAATCGATCGCGGTGAAGTAAGATCTCGGCCCAAAAACATCCGGTATAATACCATCGAGAAAGTTCTTGCTCAAATTCAAGTTGCTAATGCCCGAGACAAGCAAACTCGGCGGTATACGACCCGATATTTTGTTGGAATCAAGATTTAGCGTCGCGAGAACCGCCATTTTGCCGATTGTAGGTGGGATCGGACCTGAAATCTGATTCAAGGAAAGATCCAGATCCGCGAGGCGGTAAATTTGAGAAATCGAACTCGGGATTGTACCGCCTATGAGGTTTCGGCTCAGCAAGGCCCGGCTCAACATGCCGAGTCTGCCGAAATCTCGGGGCAGCACCCCCGAAATTTTGTTGTTTCGGAGGTCGAGGTGCATGAGGCTGGAAAGGTTGGTGAGTGAGGTCGGGATTGGGCCTGAGATGAGGTTGTCGGCGAAGTTGAGGACTGTGAGCCGGTGGAGCCGGCCGATACCAGCCGGAATCTGGCCAGAGATTTTGTTTCCGATGAGGTCGAAGATTCGGAGGAACGGCAGCGTCGTGATACATTTCGGAATCTCGCCGGAGATTCCCTTCCAATCGGCGATGGTGAGGCTGGAGAGCCGGGTCAGGCGGCAGATGGCGGGAGAGATGGTCCCGGTCATGTACCCGGTTCGGTGATTCTTCTCGTAAATCGGGTCTTCGGCCTCGCCCCGGAGGTTTATGTCGGCGACCCGACCGGTCTCCGGGTCGCAGCTGATGCCGTGCCAGTTGTGGCAGCAGTCGGTGCCGGTCCAGGAGTTGAAAATCCCGAAATGAGGCTCGTGGAGCGCCGCTTTGATTGCGAGAAGGGCGGCCAGGTCCGAAGGCGGACAGGCCCTGACGGAGGCAAAAGTAACGGCGAAGAGTATGACGACGACGCCTGTTAAGTGAAGGCGTACGGCTGTCTCCATTTTCTGAAAGGTTGGAAACTTTTCTTTTTCTATCTCTAGAAAATGTTTGTCAAGTGTTTGTGTTTTTGTCTCTGAGAGTTGATAAGTAGAAAGTGATGAAGGAAGAAGGGAAGCGGTGTGGCGGTGTGGCTTGAGGGGTTGTGTGATGTCAGGCTTAGCAACTTGAAGTTGGGCAATGGGCATGGAAGACTCAGCGAGTCGCCGTGGCTTTTTATATATAGAAAGTCAGATTATTTTTTATGACGGTTTTGCCCCTAACGTGGGTTTTTATTTTTAGGGCCTTTAGCTAGATTGACTTGAGTGCACTAATTGGAGACTTGGAGTGTAGAGGACAAGTCTAATTTCATTTAATGCTTCCTGGAATTTTCATTGTATTATTGCCACGTCACAAGATTGATCACACCGCATATAATGAATGATAGTGTATAATGAAGAAAATAAGTGTGGATTGTGTGTGTGTGTAAAATAATTGATCAAAGATTTGGAGCTCGTGATTAAGGACTAAAACAGTTGATATATGGAGGTTGAGAGAGAGAGAGAGAGGGGGATAGTTCATAAATTATTACCCATGTGAAGAAATAGTGTCCACTACATATTTTAGCTAAGGAGAAAAATCTTTCCGACTCAGTTCATTTTACGTGCAGAAGATTCAAGTAAATTTTGAATACATGCAACTATTCATAAATCATAGCGTATTAAGTAAGTTTGTGATTTGCATATAATATTAACTGGATAGTATATATTACTAGCTGTGCATGTGTGATTAACATTTATCCTTAATTATGAGTAGAGAAAGGGATGGAAGGATGGAATTTGATGGTTTGAGGTGGGGCTTAATATTTATTATTGAATGAAAGAGCACATGAACACGGGGGCATGGGAGTGGGTGGGGGGAAAGGATAAGCTTTGGCCCTTTGGCTAATTTGGCCGGGAGTACGATGAGAGTTGCTGCACATGGCAGCTTGAGGTCCATAGGTTAATTCTATAAGCTTGTTTGATTTGAGAGAGAGAGAGAGAGAGAGAGAGAGAGAGAGAGAGAGAGAGAGAGGACGTTTATGGGGTCATTCATAAATTTCTGTCATGAGGATATAAAGGCCATATATGTATCTGCAGAAAATAAGGTCTGACTTTGAGTTAATTCCATTAAATTGGAGGTATGCAACAAAAATTGACCCAAGGAGAAAGAAAAAACCAAATATAAAGTTGATGAAGATGTTTAACTTTAAGCATATTCAATTCTTACTAATTAGATTCCAAGAGCAATGCTGCAGTGCAGACACTGTAAATGGGACGACGACGGGACAACCCACTGAGATGACAAGTTTCACCAAGCAGCAGCATTTCCTTACAGCAAAAACAAGAACAGGGAAAAGAAAAATAATATATGCAACGAATATATCTAAGCAGCTCATCTTCTTGCACTTGATGACTTCTCCTTTTTTGTTTATCAGTTTTCTTGTCATTTTCTTTGTAATTATGTTTTGATCATGACATTAAACTATTGATGGTGCAATGGGTTTTTTGTGTTCTATTATTTGAAATGAAGCAAAAGTAGCAAAGGAACGTGTTAATGTGTGTTTGATCAAATTCAATGATGAACTTATTAGGAGATTCGAATCAAATTCAATGATGAACTTATTAGGAGATTCGAATACATGATCTCGAGTGCAAATATAACTGCTATTAATCGTTTATACTACAAGTACTTTACGAATTTATTTGGGTTAATAGGCTCGGTTACGAGACAGGTTAATTATGTCCAACTTTTGGGTCTTGAAAATGTGCTTGATAGCTCATTTGTGAATGTCCCTAGCAGTACCTGAATCTTTGTCTCCCCTATTAGTATCACCAATTTGGTCTCTTTCAGGGAGCGGTCAATTATAATAAATGAGCTACATAGATGCAATTTGGCCGTATTGCTTCAATTAGGGTTGTGCATCATTGGATTGGATGGTCCAAGTGCCCTGTCATCTAACTGTAGAAACAGGCCCATGCTAGGATTTGAGATCATGCTGGTGGACCATGGATGGTGATCTTGCATGTGGATGAGGATGATCATGTCCATGCTCATGTGAATACAAGCCACCGTCGCTCCATTTTAAGATCATTTCAAACAAACGAAAAGTAATGTCGACTGGGATTTGGAAAAGACTCGAAAAGCATGCGCATCTCCAGTTAGAAAGAATTTCATGATTTTAATTTATTAATTCTAGTGTTAGGATTATCTCTACAATTTATATAGTCTAATCGTCTTAAAATCACATTCTTCATAAATACCAATAGCAATATGATTGTAAAAAACTTTTATAACCCGACTGCAGTGCAGCAAATCATAAAGAAGAAAACAGTATGAAACTCAGTAAAAGGAACTTGGGTCCATTATTTTAAAGATAACGAAGAAGAAAAAACACAATATTGACTGTTTCTTCCTTTGAAATGACTAAAGAAATATGGAAACATATGGATTTGTTTCTCCTAAAATTTTGCATTATAATCTGACCGACAAACTAGCCGACATGCATGTTAAATATTAGAAATTAGAATAGTTGAAATTGTTTAGTCGCCCTCTTTTCGAAAAAAGTTGCATCGATGTTGATCCAATACTTTATAAAACAATGATTGACCGAAAATAAGGGTTTTAATGGATTCTCTGTCTTTAGGGCAGCAGTAACGGCTCATGCAAAATTAAGGAAATCTTGTAATTTTTTATTTTTAATACAAAGCGGTTGGGAGTGGGAATTTACACAAATATTCATTGGGTGTTTAGAGGTTTTGAACATCTATTCACATGAGTGAAGGAGAAAGAGCTCAACGAACTGAGCTATACCCAACCGGCTTTTCTATTTTGTTTTGAATATATAGCCTCTCTAAAGGATTTGAACCTTTGAACTTCGATTGACCAAACTACAATCATGCCTTTTCTCTTGTGTGATCTGATTAATTGTAATTTGTATGATTAGCAGTAGCTAATGCATGTGGTGTTCATGTGGGAGAGAGATCTCCCACCAGAAGCTTCTTAGGAAGATCATATATATTCTTATCATCACAATTTTATATGGTCCAATAGCCTCATTATTATGCGTGTGCAATTTATTTTGATCAACAACTAAACATTCATTTATATATTAAAAATAATGACACATGTAACAATATCATTGGGGGATAAGGATGAGAAGGCCATTGATTAATTTCAAACAAAGATGTAATCCTACTTTCATCCTATAATATTACATAATACAAGATGCCTACTCGGTTCGAAAATTTATCCAAATGCTCAGATGGGTTACACAGATAGCCAACCATGGTATACATGTATAGCAGGATTCCTATATATATGTCGATCTTACAATGTCCAACTAGAAAGATCAGCAATGAAGATTATGAGTTGTTTTTTTAGGACATTTTCTATTGAGAGGAGCGATAGTATACTAAATTCACACATACTACACGGATACTAAGACTTGAACCCATGACCTTACCTAAGGGAGTAAATACTCTAAATCACTACCCTAGTATCCTTTGCTTGATTATGAGTTTCTATATGTTTATAAATTGGATCATATATCTTGAATTCTTGATTTTCAAAATAATATTCTAACTGCTCTAAATTACTTTACTATTCCATGAAAATAAAATTTTGAACTCGGTAGAAAGGTAGATAGCACACTAGTCTAGTGAACCGACCTAACTCATAACTCCCGAAATCCATATACTCCATTTTAAAACCATTCAATTTAACCAAAACCATTCAATTTACAAGTAGTACTTTTACTACTATTTTAGAGGGCCCTTTTTATATAAAATATTGACAAAAAACATTCAATTTACAAGCACTTCTTCTGCAATTGTTCGACATCAAATTAAAATAAAACTAACAAACCTTCTCCTAGTAGCATCATCATTATTCTCGCATTTACCATTATGATAAACATGGCTTCACAATGGCATCACCACAAACACTACCAACCCGCATTTACCATTATCATCATTTTGTACGGTTTGTTTTATTGCCACCACAACCACACGTGACAATTCCTCGTGATGTTCAGCAAAAACCACACAGGGATTTTATAGACAAATAGTAATTAATAATTAATAATGTTTTTTCCTCCTCCAGCTGTTTGGGTGGTATCTAGGGGAGTCAACAACAGGAGTAGCAGCTGTGTATCTGGATTGACCAGAAAAAAACAATAAGTCCCATGTAATTAGGAGTTGAACCCAATACTTTGGAAATTTGCATGTGAAATATGCGTAAGACATGCCCCTAATTGGGACCCTTAATTACCTGCTTCATTAGATTAATTAAGTATTTTCTCCTTTCTTTGGCCCTTGATCGATCATCTGCACCTTAAGGCACGCATGCATTAATGTTCTGTCGTGTCTTTTTATTCTTGTTTTTTGTTTCTTTTTTAATCGTTGATGAAAGTTTGATGATGATCCATTGTTTATCCTTTTAAAAACTGGTTGAAGACCGTTGAGGGTTTTCCTGAAACTTTGTTCAAGTATTTCTTGGTCGGCAGTTAGGCCCTTAGCCCTTGGAAAAAAAAGAATTTAGGGGAGGTGCCGTCCATTATGTCAAAGCTTTAAGTTAGAATAACTGACCCTAAAAATTTTCACTTGTAAAGTAACGAAGAACCTGGTGATATGATTACACGAAATCCTAAGAAAATAAAAGTAACCTTGAAAGTGCATTTGAGCTTGTGTTTTGATTGTGTGGGATTCTTCTCCATTTGAGCTCGGCAAGCAAGATGCTCGGTCGGTAATATATGTCAGATCATTAGCCTCCATTTGATGTGGCCCAAGATAACTTATTGGGTCGAATAATCCTCTGAAATTAGTTTCTAAAAGACTATTTTAAGTACACTGAACTAGGCCCAAACCTAACTTTAACACTTGGAGGACAAATGAGCCGTTAAAAACATTTCCTTCCCTATGAAATCATTAAGTCACAATCATATAATAACAAGAAGCGTAGTTTTGCAATGAAAAAATTAATATGG